GATTGGAAACCCAAATGACCGGAAATTGCCGGACCACACCATGACAAACTGGTCTAAATCTACAATTCTAGAAGCAAAAGACCAATAGCATTACTAGGATTGGAGATGAATACCAGGCACAAATCCTATCAGTTGCAAACGCTTATTTTCCGTCATCAAAGAAAGGATTTCCGCCTGGTATTGGCCTCCAATTCTAGGAGTCTTTTGTGGCTCTCCATAAATGTTACCGGCAGTATAAGATTGTTCCGTTTGGACCCAGACCCACCCACCACGTTCACCAACAGCATCCATATATGGTTATCCATCTGATCGACAATCAAACATGGAAAGGATGTTGTGAGCTACAAGTTTCAATTAGATCATGGTCTTAATTGTATGAACACCAAAAGCCTAAAAGAATCAATAGTACCTGGAGGTCCCAGTTCAAATCCAAGAAGGAACAAAAATCCCCTTAACGTGATGACTCCGGGCTACCAGCAAAGCAGGTGGTCACCCTGGGATTAGTCGCTCGCATAGCGGGTTGGATATCCAGGTTAATCGGAAAAAAAGCCTAACCATATGGCTAGATGTCATGTTTAAATAACAAACTACCTAAAAGAACATCATTTCTTAATCGAGTTGGCATACATACACCCAATTTCATATGCTGTAAATTAGTTATGACCGGAAAAAAGAGCAGGTTATGAGGGTTATCGGTATGAGGCAAAAAGARAACACATATTCTCAGAATTCGTTATTTCAAAAGTTCCATTGATAAGAAGCTTGTGTGATAAGGGTGTCTTTCTTCGTAGTTTTTAAGAGCATTGAACTAAACTAYTATCATGKWGCTAAGAATGAACCTCAATCATAATGTTGTGACCATGGTGATGGTTTAGTTACGCCCATGATTTATGTTTTCTTTTTATGTTTAGCAATATTATGAGATAAGATAAAAGGATTCATTGAAACAAAATAAATAAACAAAAAGGAAGAGTGAACCTCACACCAATGATAATAGTCAAATGTCATCAGAATATTCAGCATGAGGATTCTTCTAGTTCTCATCAAACAACAACCACCACCTAAAGGCAAGCAGTTTGTAAAAAAAAGATAAGGAAACAAAATAATTAAACTATGCTCAGATCCGTTTTTTAACCCAAAAATCATAACAAAATGTTGACTACTTGCTCGCACAAACCATCCGAAATTGATCAGAAATTAACATCAATAACAATAATGATTGTGATGAWCTAAACACAACATGTTAAACACATTAAACTTCGTGTGACACAAACAAAACTGAAAGCATTTGCCATGAACAGAGAAATTGTTAGATCAAACAATTATCCCAATTTATATGCATAACCCAGTAATGAAGTTCAAATGTTGAAGTAAACCAATAAGTTATGATGGCATAAACGAATCAAAACGAAAAAACTTGAGGAAAGAAACTCGCATAAGAACTTTTCGCATCTAATTCGATCTTTTTTATTCTTATGACGGGTTCCATTGTAAAGCACACAGAGTATCTGAAGAACAGAACTCTACCTCGTATTGTAGACGTTATTTAGTATTTTAAGACGTTAAGACTTTTGCTAAATTTGCTTAATAAGATAGTATAGATATAGATTATATAATATATTAATATATATTATATAATATATCATATTAATATATATTATATATTATATATTATAAAATTTATATCATAACACCAAATTGTCTACTTGTCCCAATTTACTACATCCTATGTCTTCTATATAAACCAAAATCAACACTCATACCTTTTCAATCCAACTCTACATACTTAATTGGTTGGTTCTTCTTCAATTATTTACACTTTACAACATCAATGGCTCATTCCTACATCACTAATTTTGTCCTCCTAGTTTTAGTCACTTAAGGTATTTGCCTATGAAATTAGCTATTGCAAAGTTAGTCCATCATGTGTTTCATATAATCATATTTACTATTTAGGGTCTTGACCAATGACAATCATGAGTTTCATATGTAAAATTGCAAAGTTAAGGGAGAACAGTCAAGTGAATTAGCTACTGCACATTCAAGTGAGGGCAAATCATCACTTAACTACTGCACATTTATAGATCTATTCAACTGTATTATAGCTGCTGAAATCGTGTTAATATACATCAAAATCTAATGGGATTAGAACAAAAATCGGTGGATGATAACTTGAATATTAATCACAGAACCAAGAACTAAAACTCCAGAGATAGGATTGATTGAATCGATGAACAACTAGATCAATTAATAGCAATACTATGATGCTTTGACTGTTTGACACACAACAATGTCTGCAAACAGAAGAGAGTAACCAGATGCATTTCATGGATTTTACTTAGAAATTGCAAAACGAAACAACCCCAAAAACAGCCACAAGTCCCAACCTAACTAATGTCAGACACTTGACATAAAACCTAAGTAGACAATTAGGCATACATTTAAGAAAACCTAAGTATGGAGGGCAACATCATCTAGATTATGAATTAATCAAACAAGAATTAGAAACATAAAAAATAAAACAAGTAAAGTAAATAACCCTAACCTCACAACTCACAAGTATTCAGATTTTGAGCGGTCGCCGGTCGATAGWTGAGACTCGAGAGAGCGAGAGGCGAGACTCGAGAGCCGACAGTGGTGATTTGAGATTTTGATTCGTGAATCGTGAGTTCTGGTGATTTGAGATTTCGATTCATGAATCGGTTCGTGAGCGAGGCGGGAGTTGAGGACGAAAGAGAGAGCGAGTGAGGCCAATTGACGATTGTGGTGGTAATTTTAGGCCCAACTGAACCTATATATATACATGCCCTGGGCCGTCGCCCCYTGGGCCTATGGCCGGGCCGGCCCAGTCTCTCTTCTCTCTCACGGTTTTATCTGCCATGGATAACTCCCGTYTCATCGATGCCTTCTCTTTACCAAAGCACCATTGAAGCTCCCTTATTCATCAAGGAAGTGTAACTTCTTCATCGGTACCACCAAAGCATCTCTATCTTCTTCATCAGAGCACTATCGAACATTAGTGCCCTCGCCCCAATATCTGGGTATAGGATGGGAGAGTCATGGTGGGTTTAATCCTTGTGATTTTGGAATTTGGGTCCCACCCGATGTTGAATTTCTTTACATCTATTAGAACCTTTTGGAGGGTACCAAATAAGTGTTGAAGAACATTAGGTATCACCAAATTGCTGGCATACAGGTGTTAAAAAGGAGCTGAAGGTGAAGGTCCAAGAAGCAACCACTCAAACTATCGACGATWAAAGTGATTGATCAATTAGAATAAGATAGAGAAAAAGAGATTTACCGGTAGATCGGTAGGAGAGGAGAGAAGGACAGGRGCGTCGGAGYGAACAGATCGACGAATAAGGGAGGAGGGCAGCGGTGCAGACGACGGAGGAGGGGAGTAGAGACGGCGAGGAGAGCACCGGCGAGAGAGGTGCGTCGTTTTTTTCTCTTTCTCAAAGGGCATGTCTGTGGTGTCTCCACTCTCCACTCCAGCTCCTTTCTTGACAGCTTCGTTATTTTCTTATTTTGTAGGGGTTAAAAATTAATTTAAATTAACATTTAGAGTAAATTACTTTTTAATCCTTATGGTTTGTTAAAAGTTGCTATTTTCATCCTTGTGTTTAAAAAATGATCTTTATCCTTATAGTTTATAATTCATCACTTTTTCCATTTCTATGGTTTATAATTCATTGATATTTAAGTTCTTATAGTTTATACTTTATTGCTATTTTTGTATCTCATACTTAATTGTAATGAATTGTCTCGAGGAGCACTAGCACACTTAGGATTTTTGTCGAACGTGCACATTTAAGGTTGATCAAAGGTCCGCAAAGTTGTTCAATATGTTTTAAGCTGAATTCCACCATTCAAAAGATTTTTTAAGTTTCTTTGTTGATTTTGAGGGGAAAGTTTTTTTTTGTTGATTTCAATAGAATATCTTGGGTTTTTTGGTTGATTTTAAGATACTTTTTTTCGATTTTTTGATTGATTTTTCTTATATTTTCTAATAATTCAGAGCATCCCTCAAAGTTCAACGAATGCACCTTTCATAACTCAAAAAAAGGTCGTACTTGCAAAAACAAGTTGAACGGATGCACATAAGTCTACTCAAACATACATAGGTCTGTCCCTATCGAGGAGAAAGACAACAATAAATTGTAAACTATAGAGACAAATCATAATTTCAAAGTATAAGGACGACAATTGAAATCTAAACAAACCAGAGGGACTAAAATTGCAGTTTACTCAATTTAATTAAATATTCCCCCTTTTTCCTTCTCTTTTTTTCGGTTGGGTACGATTACTCAATTTAATCAAAGCCCTAAACTGCACATCAGGCACACTCTTATGGAAGAAGAGGGTTTGCCCGCAAAACAGCCATGGCGGGTGCTCGAATTTTACAGTGGCATTGGTGGCATGGTAAGCCAACCACAACCTTTCTCTCTAGTTATATCTTCGCTTCTTATTGAAAATTTCTCTTTGGAATAATAATTGAGACATGGAACTTGAACAGAGGTATTCGGTGATGAAGGCTGGATTGCAAACAGAAATGGTTGAAGCTTTCGACATAAACGACTTGGCTAATGATGTTTATGAGCATAATTTTGGGCATCGGCCATTTCAGGTGTGTCTGTGAACATAGCATTCCAATCGAGAGACACAGACAGTTACCTTAGACTCAAATATGATGTAGATTCTATAGTTCATGCTAAAAATTGATAACGAATTTAAGCCATGACAAGTACTACAAAATGGAAGATGTAGATGTTGAAAGGTACTGTCTGTGTAAATGTATAATGATGTTGTCAATATTGTTCAGATGGTTAGTTTTGTTCATTTTTGGAGGTGAATATAGGGTAACATTCAGACATTGACTGCTGCTGATCTTGATCGTTACCGCGCAAACGTGTGGCTTCTTTCTCCACCATGCCAACCGTATACCCGACAAGGTTAGGTTTCGGATAGTTATTGCATTTCCCATTTTGTCCGATGATGATTTCATTGATTATAATGTATCCCAAACTAAGCCTGTCTTTTTAGGTCTTCAGAAACAATCTGCTGATGCTCGGGCCTCCTCTTTTCTCAGAATTCTTGAAATCATTCCGCAGTTGATGCTACCTCCGGTCATGCTCTTTGTTGAGAATGTTGTTGGATTTGAGGTTTGTAATCAAAATTTGAGCTCAATTTATGAAATTATATTGACCGATGCATTGTTCAATTACTAAATTGTTGTTTTGTTTCAGACATCTGATACACATCAAAAGATGGTTCAGATACTCGAGGAAAGCCAATTTGAAATGCAGGAATTTATATTAAGCCCACTGCAGTTTGGTGTGCCGTACTCCCGTCCCCGTTACTTTTGCCTGGTATGTCAACCAAAACAAAGAAAACAGAGCATCATGTTGATTAACAATTTCAAAGTATCACATGAAAAATCCCTAGAGCCTTGAATTTAATTGTATTTGTTATGCATGCTTTGCAGGCCAAAAGAAAGCCATCATCCTTCTGCAACCCAGAGTTCAATGGGCAGCTTCTTCATGTGCCAGAACTGTTATTCGGTTGCAATGAGAGCATATCAATCAGTGAAAATGGTCAATTAACAAGTACTTCTGATAAGATGYTCCAAACATGCCTTCCTATAGAAAGATTTTTGGAATTTGGGAACTCTATGAACCAGGTTGAAAATGGAACAAGTTTTCCACCAAATACGTTTTCAGATGAAAATTCTTTAAAGCAGTACTTTGTTCCATCAAACTTGATAGAAAGATGGGGAAGTGCCATGGGTATCCTTGATATCAAGTTATTTGTTTTATGTACATTTATAACCTCAAAATAGTTTTAATCCGTAGCTGTCTCTTGATGCAAATGTTGTTCCTTAAAGTGATATAGATATCGTCTATCCTGATTCAAAGCGCTGCTGTTGCTTCACAAAGAGTTATTATCGTTATGTGAAGGGCACTGGATCCCTATTAGCAACCGTTATGGTAAATTTCTGCAATCATGCTTAGCTTTTTGTTGCAAGTAAACCATCTTTTTTGTGAAAATGCATAGGCTACTACATATCACAAGAATGAGTGCTTTTAGACAAAAGGTACCAAGTCTGATGGTTCTTTTTGCATTTACATTTCTACAATTTGTTCATTCTTGCAAATCATGGTGCTTTTTTGGCTCTTTCACAAAGAATGGTTACTTTGCAATGAGTGCTTATGTAAAATAGTTCAATAAGCCAATCACTTTTACTTAATGGCAGTATGTATGCATTCTCTCTCTGCCTTTGAAACGCATTAGTTGTTATTCAGATTATGACTTGCATTGTTGGGCACCCAATCTTATATGCGGACTTTTTTTCCATATGAACTATTTGCAGCCAAAGACGAGAGACAAAACGTCATTGGAGGAACTTTGCCTCAGATACTTCACGCCTAGAGAGGTCTGTAGTTATATGATGCAATTTGTTCTTTTTTAGTCCTTATTGGTTTTCTTGGTGGTGATCCTTTATTCGTTTCACAACCTCATAAGAAAATTATATTGCAGGTTTCAAATTTGCATTCTTTCCCCAAGGAATTTGAGTTTCCAGAACATGTAACCCTTCGACAACGGTATGTTGATTAAACCTTTTTATACCCTTGCATTTTTGCATGGTGAAAATGGAGATTGATAATTTGCATGTAATACTTCAAAAGTGTGATTCATACTTTATTATTCCGGATTCTTGTTTCCACTATGAGAGCAGATAACGCCCAAATTAACATACATCCTCTGTTCTAAAAAGAGAGTTCACTTTGACTTTTACATGTCAAAAATATTCTAAGTCAAATTTTATATCGACTTTTGCACGATTTCATCCCCTTATTCGAGTGCTATTTACATAGTTCAGTCTACAAATGACACATTTTATCCCATACTATTTTTATTTTACATAGTTTAATCTAATCATAGATTTGCAAGTTGTAAACCATGATGTTTGGCTTTCAAAAGTCAAGCTTGTACTCTCTTTTTCGGAACACATGGATTCTTTCCAGATGCTGAAAATGTCATTTTTCCATATCACCACCATCAAAATGCATAAGTCTTACAATTCATGGTACTTTTTCTATTTTTTTATACTATTGGATTTTTTTTTATGAATTTTGAAGTTAAAGCTAGTCTCTAAAAAGTCAAACACGGGCCTTTCTTTTGTAGAACAGAGTGGTACAAGAGAGAAAAAGAATGAACCTACACTCCTAAAACTTGATAGCATCATTAGCACCTTCCTTTCATGAAAATTGTATCACTTTCTTTTTCATAACGTCCGGTTAAAATTTGTAATGCTTCATTTTTTGGCAAAATTTCATCACATAAACTTTCTAATTGTCATTACAAATAAATGGATGGTATTTAATTTGATTCCACATTATAATTGCATTTTGTTTGTACTCTAGGGGGTGTATGGTTAAAGTATTAAGTTGTCATTAATGTGATTGAAAATAAAAGAAACTGTTTGGTGTTATATAATATAATAAGCTAATTCCCCCTGAAAGCTCAAATTTCTATTACCAGTTAAAGTTGTTTGAATGAAAATTCATTCTCATTTTCATTTCCCCGCATGAACCACAAATTCCCTTAGATATTTGAAAGCATTCTTAAACCATCCATTTATGTATCTAATAAAACATTACTTACATTGGTTTTTGAATTATTATTTTTAAAGATTAAGCTCACTGTTTTGTTTCTGCAGTTATGCATTGCTGGGAAACAGTTTGAGTGCAGCAGTGGTTGCTCCGCTCCTCCATTATCTATTTAGCGAACCGTAGTTTTTTCTTCAGTTGTTTTTCGATCATATGATTCTCAGTTTGCAAGGCTTAATCCCATCAAAGTTGATAACATTTCGATCTCCAGGACTTGTTTATGAAGCTCGAAGAAACACCGTGTGTATGATAAGTTTTTGATCCTATCTTATATCTACAAGATGAGGTTTGAAGTGTTGTTCAAATGATATTGATATTTTGGAGTTTTAGGTATGCCCTACCAGAGAAATGCATAGGGTACACCACAGAATTTGGTGTTAGAATTGTATCCCATATGTATGAGATCATCCACACTCATGGAATGAGTCATCTTTCAAGAGTAACATTGTTAGCTTTTGTAATTATCTTATACATTAATACAGGGGACCGTTTTTTGCGAGTTAGAGAACCGATGCATTATGTACTATTTCATATTGTGAACTGTGTTTGTGGAACAAAAAATACACATTTTGAGGAGTTTTAATATCGTAAATTAAACAATACCTTAAATTAAAATAAATAATATAGTGGAGTTTTAATGTCTATATAATATTGCGAAGTACATTTCAACTTTAGAAACTGGTCTTGCAAATTTGGTCTATACTCTACATAGCATCGACGTGAAAATGAGGAGAGTTTTCTTTCTCTTAAAATAGTTTTTTTATTTAATATATATGTTAAATATAAGGGTAAATTACGTCTTTGTCCCTGTAGTTTGTTATAAAAGGTGGATTTCATCCATGTAGTTTTGGAATTGCCGTTTTCATTCCTATAGTTTGCAAGTCGTTGCTATATTCATTCTTGATGCTAATTTCTATGTTTAAATTAGGCTTGTTTATCGGTTGACATCCAATGGATGCGAGAAGAACCGAATCGATCCAAGCATCTATTGGATGTTGAATTTTGTCGAGCGATCTAACTCGATTAATATTAAACAGCTGATCCAATCTAATCCAATGAATGATTACATTAGTTCGATTCCAACCATTGGATATAGAGATGGAAATTTTACCCATCAGGACGGGTATCCACGTTTATTTTCATACCTGAAGCGGGGTCAGAGCAGGGTTTGAGATGGTGTTATCCGCCCCTAATCCGGGGCCAATTGTTTTTTTTTTAATATGTATACAATGTGCATAAATAAATAAATATGTATATATGTAAGTAAATATTTAGTTCTAAATAACAAATATATTTGATTTTCAATATGGTAGTTAATATAGTAGCGATTTATTATAATTATAATTTTAAAACACATTGTTTTATTGTTTTTTTTAACTAAATGGTACATGATGGGTTATCCAAACCTACTAGGCAGGATCGAGGGATGCATTACCCGCTTAATTGGATATTTTTTATTGGATATCCATTGGACTGGATTTGATCCATCCAACATCCAGTGGACTAAAATATTACCTTTAAGTATGGGGACTAAAATGAAAAAGAAACCAGAAGCCACTTGGACAAAAAAAAAACAATAAACTTTAAATCATAAGAACAAAAATGATAATAAATTATAAACCAGGGGATGAAACTCATTATCTCTAGATTTTAGAGAAGAAAATAGAAATTTTCAACAAACCATAGAAACTAAAAAAAGTAATAAGGGGCCGTTTACTAAACACTTACTTGGTAAGTGCTTATTGAATAAATTTCCTTATCGGATGAACATGAGAAGGGCCAAGAATCTTACCGGATAAGAGCGTGAAGAATGACGGAGAGTCTTACCCAATAAGTGAGGATGATGACTCTTACCCAGTAAATTATTGCATTCGATATGTTTTGATATACTAAAATTTTACGCATCAAAATAAATCATAATGTTGACTCATATGGATAAACATTTACCCGGTAAGCAATTAGGTAAACGACACCTTCATCATAATATAGGAGATCACATAACGTAACCGTGCATTTCAACGCAAAACTAGTCAAATATCTAATCGATTAACAACAATCGCCGGTTTAACAAACGATCCATCTTTTATTCTTTTTTATAGATTGAAGTTTGAATTAGATGATATGAGTGGAGGGTGTTAAATGGTACTTCTTGGAAACATAGGGGTACAAACAAAACGAAGCGGTTTAACAAAATTAGGGTTTTTATTTCTGAATCTTCACAATTTTTATGCAGAAACACTCCAGTGATCAAACCAACATGAGAACTCCCTTACCTCCTACATTCATCACCCCTTTTCTTGCTCGATCTCGCTCACGCTCAATATTAGAACATTCTTTATCATTTTCTTCAATTTCTGACGGTAATCCGTTGTTGGAACAGGAAATTCCCACTAAACCCAACTCAAAGTCCATATCTTTTGAGAACCCCAATCACCCACAATCAAAAAATCCGAAAACTGAAAAACCCATCTCACAGGATCCAATTTTGTCTCAATCCGATGTCACTGAAGTTCTACTTTCTCATAGAAACGATCCAGATTTTGTTCTGGGGCACTTCAAATGGGCTACAAGAAAAGGAATTGTGCCAGCTAAGATGACTGGTGATCCGTTTCTTGTTCTGGTCCATATTTTGATGTGTTCGGAAAAACACCACGGAACTGCTAAGAAATTGATTAGCAAATGTGTTACGGAGTTTTCGGATACTGGGCCAGGTGAGCTTGTTTCCCAATTTGTTGTTACTGCAGAGAAGTTTCAGTTTGATTACGATTCAAATTCTAGGGTTGTCAATTACTTTCTGGGTAGTTTGGCTCGATCCTCTCGATTGGAAGATGCTGTTGTTTGTTTCAGGAAAATGGTTGAAAAAAACATTGTTCCTTGTGTTCCATTTGTTCATGTTCTTTTGAATGCATTGGTTAGGAATAACATGATTACAGAAGCTCGAGTTATGTTCAACGATATAGTAAGAATGGGAATTCCGTATGATTGTGCAATGATTCGAGTTATGATTCGTGGGTGTGTAAAAGAAGGTAAATTTGAAGAGGCTGCACAGTACTTTTGTGATGCAAAGGTGAATGGGGTAGAGCTTGATGCAATAACTTATAGTACTGCTATTTATGCTGTTTGTAAGAAACCCGACGCCATTTCTGCTCGTGCATTGTTGAATGAGATGAAGGAAAGAGGATGGGTTCCTTCCGAGGGAACTTATACGAATGTTATTGGAGCTTGTGTGAAGCAGAGATTTATGATCGAAGCTTTAAAGTTAAAAGATGATATGGTTAGTTGTGGGGTTCGTATGAATTTGGTGATTGCCACGAGTTTGATGAAGGGATATTGTGTTAATGGAGATCTTCGCAGCGCTTTGGATTTGTTTGAAAAGAGTGTTGAGGACGGTCTTTGTCCAAATAAGATCACATACTCGGTTCTGATTGAAGGGTGCGTCAATAATGGGGATACGGAAAAGGGTTTTGAATTGTACACCCGAATGAAAAATGAAGGTATCAAACCTAATGTTTACAACATAAATTCGTTAATAGCAGGGTTTTCTGAGGCTGGTTTGATAGAAGAAGCAAAGAAACTCTTTGATGAAGCTATTGAAATCGGTGTGGCGAATGTCTTCACGTACAATAATCTTATTTCGTGGTTTTGTAAAGTGGATAAAGTAAATGAAGCTTGTGATGTATTCGATAAGATGGTGAAAGATGGAGTTTCTCCAACTATTGTTTCGTATAACAACATCATACTCGGCCACTGCAAAAGCGGAAATATGGATGTCGCATTAGAGTTGTTTAATATGATGCAAGAAAGGGGTTTCAAAGCTAATGTCATCACTTATAGCATTTTGATCAATGGGTATTTTAGGAAAGGTAAAAGTGAGCAAGCCCTAGCTATCTTTGATCAAATGGTGGATCTTGGGTTTCTTCCATCCGACTACACGTTCAATATAGTTATAAATGGTTTGTGCAAAGTTGGCCAAACATCCGAGGCTCGTTATATGTTGGAGAAAGCGGTGGAGAAGGGTTTTACCCCAACATGTATGACATATAATAGCATTATAGATGGTTTTGTTAAGGAGAGCAATCTTGATTCCGCATTGGCTGTTTATACAGAGATGCACGAAGCCGGGATTTGCCCAAATGTTGTCACGTACACCTCTTTGATTCACGGATTTTGCAAATTGAAGAACATGGATCTTGCTTTGAAAATGAGGAACGAGATGAAAAGCAAAGGTCTTGAATTGGATGTTACAGCATATGGTGCTTTAATTGATGGATTTTGCAAAAGCAGGGATATGAGAAGTGCACGTGAATTCTTTGACGAGATTTATCAAGTTGGATTATCTCCAAATTCCGCGGTTTATAATAGCATGATAAGCGGATTTCGGGATCTTGACAACATAAAAGAAGTTCTTGCCTTTCAAAAGAGAATGGTCAATGAGGGGATCATATGTGACTTACCTATGTACACTACTTTGATTGACGGCCTGCTTAAAGCAGGGAAAATAGTTTCTGCTTCCGATTTGTATGCAGAGATGCTTGCAAAGAACATAGTGCCAGATGTTGTTATGTATTCGGTTTTGGTCAATGGTCTTTGTAATAAGGGTCAACTAGAGAATGCACGGAACATCTTGGAAGAGATGGAGAAGAAGAGTGTGGTTCCTAACGTAGTTATTTATAATTCACTGATTGGTGGGTACTTTAGGGAGGGTAATTTGCAACAGGCTTTCAAATTGCATGATGAGATGCTAGATAGAGGTCTTGTACCTGACGATAGAACGTATGATATTCTTGTTACGGGTAAAGTCAAAGGGGATGAGTCGATGATTGAAGCTTCATGTTGAGTACAAGTTCATTGGTTGGATGGTTTGACCACTTTGACTTCAGATGGCACTCATTGAGGTCCATCAATTGGGACTTTCATCCCTTCATTGAAGTGCAAGGCAACATCTTTCGCAGACGAGTTTGTTTATCTTGCAGCATTCGAGGTAAGTTGCCATGCCCGTGGTACTTTCTTATCATGCAATTGGATCTATGACTTATCCATTTAATGATTATTGTTAGTATACAAAGATTATGGGTGCCTGTTTTTTCTTAATTGTCTAATGTACCATGGACCTATGTTTTGCTTTTAGGGTTTAGGGTTTATATTATAGGATTGACGATGATTGAATCATAAATGAGATGCAATAGAAGACGAGTGGATATGTGGCAAGTGCTCGAGCCTATACAAGATTAGTTAAAACTCTAAAGTGCAAACGTCATTGTATATTGATCAAAGACATTAAACCTGAACATAAGCAAGATCATAAAGAATTACATACACACAGAGACATATGTGTGTGTATATTGATATAGGCGAATGATCGTGTGAGAAGAAGAGTTTAAGGTGAGAAGCGTAAGAAGGGATCTGGACCGTTGATCACCTTTAATCTCAAACCCACCCATGAATCACGCTTGATACGGAAATTGATCCGGTGCATCTCATCCTAATGTGCATCTAAAGGTAGAGATCCCTTCTCACGCTTCTCACCTTAACTCTCTTTCTCGCCAAAACCCAACCCTATTATATATATAATATATATATATATATATATATATATATATATATATATATATATAAGGGAGGGATACATGCAAACCAAACCATTTGTAGAAACCGTGAAAACCCTCTATTTCATTGTTTAATTTAGTGGAAAAAATTCATGAAACTATTTAATATGATGAAATTGTTTCAAGTAATTCATTTCTTGATGAAATTGTTTCATATATTTTTGTTTCCGTGTAATAATTAAGTTGTTTCATGTATTTCCATAATTAACGCCCTCCACAATAAAAATGACTAGTCAACCCTCATAATTAAAAGAAGGGAAAAAAAAGAAAAATTATGATTGGTTGAATGAGTTTTTCACGGTTTGTACTAATGGTTTGGTTTGCATTTTATCCCTCCCCTATGTGTGTGTATATATATGTATGTGGTATTGTTGTGTGTGTATTAACTAAGATTCGTCACACTTTTCACAAAATCAACCACTCTAATCTTTAGGATAGAGGTAGGTCAGGTCTGCATACATCAATTACTCTGACCGGACCCACCTCCTGGTGGGACATACTGGGTTCGTTTGGTTTATTTTTTTGTATATTGCCATGTACAAGATTGTATTTTCCCCCTTTTTGGATAGGTTGACATGCCACTTCTAGCATGAATGTCTGTTTTCTTGGTCTTTAGGTTACACACCCGGAGAACGTGCATAAACCCTAAACCTATTCGATGTTTTGGTCATTGCAGAAGATCAATGATCTTGCCACACGCCCACACCTGGGATCGTCATATAAATCTTCATATCTGAACTATGTTGTTCCAAATGCTTGAAGAAGTTGAAATTTTGATCTAATCCTGTGTTTGGGCAATGCTCTTTCTCTCTGCACAATTCATGGTTAGTTCTTTTTTTAAACAGTCAACGAACATAAAAGCTTGGTGTCTTTTTGACTCAAAACTCACAATTTAAAAACGTAGAAATCCGCTAAATCTATCGGACACAAAGGCCTCATGGTAATTCATGGTTAGTTAAGTTCTTGATCAAGTAACACCAAACTCAATGCGGTTTTGTAGGAGTCTGAGATTTCAAAGGCACCAAGAACACAAGTTTTGCTACCTATAGCGCTCGGTGAGGTTCATCTTTTGGCGCACACCCAACTTCTTCCAAATCAACGTGACGGCCAGTTGCAAGGTATTTTTTTGGTTTTTTGTTATATATATAAAGTAATCGATTTTGGTATATGCCCTTTGCTGTTAGTACAGTGTTTTAATTGGAAATCAAGATTTTGGTTTACAAAGAGTCTATAAACTTGAAAAGGCTATCTAATTTCATGTCATTTCAATTGAACTCACACCAGCCTTGCTTGGGGATTCGATATCGTTATAATAACTCGAGTACCTTTGGTTCTCGAGCCTATCACCTTCTCCCCAAATAGCGTAAGCTTCTTCTCCATGAACTGCCTCATCTCCGACTTCTAGCTCCTCATCGGACATCCTCAAAGGCACAATTATTTGCACAAATAAGCACACTAAACTCGTCATAATGATATTAAGAACCACCACGAACAAAATCCCGAGCAGTTGAATCCCCATTTGCCGAAATCCCCAATGGATACTCTCCGATGTCCCAAGGTGCAACCCGTGGAATAACCCCATGTATTTACTCGTACTTCCGTAGAACAGTTTGCACAAATGTGGCTCCGAGAAGAGGCCCGTGAGGATACCGCCCAAGATTCCAGCGATGGCATGTGTGTGCAACACCGCCATCGTGTCGTCGACTTTCTGGAGTATCTCGAACTTCCTGTGCACCACCATCATCGTGAACCATGGGATCGATCCCGAGCAAATTCCCATTGCAATCGCTGCGTAACCTTGCACCACCCCGGCTGCAGGGGTGATGCAAACTAGACCAGTGATCATGCCCTGAACTGCTCCGATGACTGAGGGTTTCTTGAAGAAAATTACATCAAGAATGAGCCACGTGAGCAGGCTTGTAGCCGCACACACATGAGTGTTCAAAACGGCTAAGGAAGCATCTGCACTAGCGACATAAGGGTCTCCACCGTTGAACCCGGTCCATCCCATCCATAACAGACCCGCACCGGCTAACATCAGTATGATGTTGTTGGGAGGAAACTTTTCCCTGTCGATTTGCAATCTAGGACCGACCTGCACAAAAATAGAACCAAAAGGTTATTCCCAACGGTTCCCGAATTAGCAGGAGATCCTAACCTCCCTGGGAGTCAAGGGTTCAAGCCTCACCAAAAGGTGGAAAGTGTGTAGTAGTTTTGTCGTATATAACTTGTGTAACCCACTTTTTTCAATATAATATTCAAAAAAAGTAGGCATTCCGCAAGTTGCATAAGTGCTACTTGCGTAATGAAAGTGGACACTTATTTTGGAACAAACTAAAATAGAAATATGAACATTTATTTTAAAATGGAGGGGGTATAAGAAAAATACCCAATAAGCGGTGGTGTAACCAGCAACACCGGAAGACAGATGGATAACGTAACCACCAGAATAGTCGATGATTCCCATTTTGCTGAGCCAACCTTTTGTAGACCAAATGGTGAATGCACCGATGGTGTACGAAAACGTTAGCCAAAGCGGAACAAACAACATCCATGCGTAAAAATTCATCCGTCCCAAAACCGCACCCGCGATCAAAATCAATGTGATCGCAGCAAAAACAAACTGGAAAAAGACCATAGTCGCGTTCGGAAACATTCCCAGAAACGCTTGTTCAAGAAGATACTTCTGCTCAACAGCAGCATTCGGTTTTCCCCAAATCGGAATAAGTTCATCACCAAATGAAAGTCGGTATCCCCAACAAACCCAACAAACAAGAACCATCGCAAAAGCATATAACGCCATGAATGCGGAATTCACCGCCCATTTCTTCTTCACAGCACCCCCATACAAGATTATAAGCCCCGGGACACTCTGCAAGCCGACTAGCGTTGCCGCTACGAGCTGCCACGCATTGTCGGCCTTGTTCATCCATTCGGGGCTGGCATCATCTGGTAACAAATTTGGAGGAAACGCAAAGGGTTGTGTTAGATTGAGGAGTGGTGGCGATGGTGGTGAGAAACTCATCTTCTTACCAATTCCTGAACACAAATCAAGAAATGGTGTTGAGTGGCGTTATTTGTAGGGAAGAAGATGACCGGCCAAGTAGCAGGAATGAAGGATCGATGATTTCAAGGTACAAGTCGTTATTGCATGAATATAATACAATGAGATTGCTGCTTCCTTTTGGAGGAATGTTAGTGGTTTTATGTGTTAAGGTTTTTGGGCATCAAACAAGTCTCTTTTGTACAGTTTTCGTCGGTTGAAGATTTCAACACATAGTCAAGGTTCTAAATGACGTGAGATTTAAGAGAGAGAGAGAGAGAGATTGTCGATGTAACACCCCAAAAGTTTCGACATATATATATATAATATATATATATATCTATATATATATATGTAATAACTTGAAACTAAGAGCATAATTTTGGATGAAATGCATGCTATGTACGATACATGTATTTTTTTTGATTAAATGGGATGGACGTGACATGGTTGTGTGGGGCTCATTACCAGGACGCTGGTATTGGACGATGGAAAACCGCATAAAATTAAATTGTCAGTATATGAGCCGGAAGGGGTACTTCTGAGACTGTACTATGGGACGGTAGTCAAGACGTGCCTGTAAACGCCTATGAGTTTAACTAGAGATGGATGGAATGACGGAGCCCCACCATGCCAAGTGGACGTATGAGATATCAAATGTGATGGAAGATGCATTTTATTTAAGAATGAAGCTGCGAAAAGCCATGAACTCACTTAGCATAAAGCTAACTTTAGCATTTATCTCGGGATCAGGAAAGTTCAAGGTCGATAAGAGAATTGTTTGATGTTATGTTTTAATATTCCGCTGCGATGTATTCTGGAAGTGTTGATGTTTCGTGGTTTAAGGGTGTAACAGTCGACAAGCGAACAATGATCAAGTTCTTTTTGAACGGCAATCCCATAATGAAGATAGAAATCCCACAACGGTTCATGGTGAAAATAATGTGATGGTTTATGATTCAAATCAAGATGTGATTTCTTTTAAAAAAAAAGAACTAGAACTGACTGCAGATGTACTATTTTTCGAGTCGAAGAAGTGGAAGTATGAGTTCCTATTTTTGATCAACAAGCTGGAATGCTCTCTAAACAATAACTTTAGTTGTTCTTCCAATGAATCACCACCTTTGAATGTAACTTTAAACTCAATTACCAAAAGTTGCTTGGAATTTTTTGCATCATGACAATATCTGAAATTCTTGTTGTAATTAAAAAAAAAAATCATAGCTTCTTGGTATTGAATCATGGGAAAATGACCAGTTTATACATTATACGCTAATAAAATGACCACTTTTAAGATATTTTCAAAAAATAACCAACCAAATCGCCCCGATTTTGGCCAATTTTTTATCTTCTAGTGAAGACAACTTTTAACGCAACGATTTGACACATTGGAGGCACTTGACTGGTATGGGGCGATTTGAAAAGAATGAGTTTTTGTTCACTAACATGCTCAAGAGATTGCTATCTTGTTTTCTAGAATAGAGAATCATGTAGAAAACTCTGAATACATGAAATTCTTTAAAACTTGATATTGGGAAGAAGAAATGACTATTTTATACAATTCCCCCAATAAGATTGACTTATTATTGTTTTTTTTAAAGTATATTAGAATGGTAAATTAGAGAATATTATAAAAATATAGTTTATGTTAAAATCTCTAAAATATATAATCTCTTAGGGTGCGTTTGGTACGTGGAACAGGGTGGGACAGGACAGAACATGACACACTTGTCCCATTTTGGTGTGTTTCTAAGTGGAACTAAGTGGAACACGTGTGGGACAAGCCTGTCCACCCTCAACCCCTGGAACTAAGTGGAACAAGACATATTTGACAAATATACCCTAAATTGATTTCTTCACAGGCGACGTTCATCTCCTTTGATCTCCATCTGCATCTCCATCTCCATCGATTTCTTCACAGTCCACCTCCTCTCCATCGATCTCCATCTCCATCTCCATCGATCTCCATCTCCATCGATTTCTTCCTAGTCCACCTCCATCTCCATCTCCATCTCCATCGATCTCCATCTCCTTCGATTTCTTCACAGGAGACCTCCATCTCCATCGATTTCTTCACAGCATCCAAGAACAAAGGTACGGTGAATTTGATGAATCACGAACTAGGGTTTGTTCTWTTTGATGAAATTCGAAATGATTTTTTTATTGATTTTGTGTTTTTAGTTGAATCATGAACCGGRTATTGTGATTTTTKATCAATRAGGAACTGGGTATTCTTCACAGCCGGCCTCCATCTTCGTCGTCTTCTTCATAGCTGGTAATCGATTTTGCCTACTGTTTCGAATGATAAATCGATTTTGCCTACTGTTTCGATCGATAAATCGATTTTGCCTA